CAAATGCCTGAATACCCCTCCTTCTTCATCAACTCTTGAACATCTTCGCAAATAAAAATAAGTGAAGCCGGCTAGGTTTTACCCTTAAAACAGACAGACTAAATAATTTAACTCTTCCGTGAAGAATCTACAGACGGTGAAATGCACAGCGACTGCTTCGCTGTGCGTGAATATATGAACAGCACGCAACGTTGAACAAGACACGAAACCTTTCCGCTCTTCTCTGATTGGACAAAACATTACTTGATAAGTACCGTCTTGAAAGGAATGTTCACAATGCAATCAAATGATTAATGAAACCGTGAGAACGTTTTAGGACTGAGTTGTGATTGGTCGTATCCGCACACAAAACATTCCGATGTTGTTTCGCTTGCCGACGTTGATAGACGCGTTTCAATAAAACTCACAAGATCACTTTCGTGAACCTCACGCAGCATACAAATATAAAAATGACTGGTGTTAAGCAAATGCGATGTTTTCGTGATGTTTCGAAGGTTAACTTGCTTATAAGACAAATGCCGTCTTTTTAGAATATTTTAATTTTGCACAATTATCTTTGTTTTCACCTTTTCGGCGTATAAACACTGAAAACACGTGCTTTCAATTAGACACGGAAAGCACGTGGGGCCCTGGTAGTAGATGCTCGTGTCACGGTGTGTCTGTGTGTATGTTTTTTTTTTTTTTTTTTTAGGGTTCTCTGCCCGTAATAAAGTACGTAAGGATAATTGTCATTATTAGATCAGTCAATTTTTGAAGAAGAGGAAATTACATCATCCTTAATAAAGGATTCACATAACTTTTAGCACCAAGAAGTATAACTACTTTCCCCGGGCTACTTTCATTGCTGGAGCACTGCCACACATCTCATATTTTTTGAAAGGCAATAGACCTATTCGGTCTATTCACGTGAGCAGGGTGGTTAGTTTAAACATTTCTGACCTGGGGTACGTATGCAATTGATAATTTCAGATTAAACTCCGTGTTAGTGTTTTGATACACGATTTGGTGTAAAATAACACACCAGTTGTGTTAAGTTCTTGCAAGATTTCTGAAACACAGACGTAGTGTAACTTTACACCGCCAACGTGTGCCACATTTCTTGATTACACCATTTTAGTGTGTTCATACACTGAATTGGTGTATCTTTTAAGAAACACTCCGCAAGTGTTATGACAACACTAACTCAGTGTTAATATATATCTCCCTTGGTGTTAATTTACAACCTCGAATTTGCTGTGTACCTTCTCGAAAATTTCAGCCAGGAAAAGGCTCCCGAAAATTCTAGGTGGCCTTTTTTGGGGTCAAAATCCGTTAAAAATGGCTAATTATACCATTTTGTAGATGTTCGAAAATCCTAGGAGAGGCAGGCAAGCAAGAAATTTTACAACAAATGCTCCGAAAATTCTAGATCTCAAATCGTCTTCCGAACAGATATTTTCCCGAAAATTGCCGTTGGGTGCCCGTGACTTGACAACTGACTTGAATCATCAGACGCGGTCATTTTTAAACCAATTTTTTTTTTTTTTTTTTTTTCACAAAGAGCCTATAAAGGCCGTTCATTACATCCAAACTAAACTTGCACATTTACCGTCCCGATTTGGCAGTTATAAAAGAAGTTCCTGAAGATACACGGTGAAAAGGAAGCTGCGCTACAATTTTATGTTTTATCTAGACAATTGACAAAAATTTCTGCAATTTGATTGGCTTAGAATAGTGGTGTTTCAGCTTAATTTGAAATACCTACATGTGAAAATTACAAAGCTTTTGAGGGTAGTAGTATAAACAAATAATAGCATGATTTGTACGTGATATTTGGCATAAATACCACTCGTGGTGTTTCAAAATTGTCTCATGATTTCACTCGCCTAACGGCTCGTGAAATTACGTACAACAATTTTGAAATATCACTCGAGGTTTTTATGCCTAATATCACTACAAATATATCATGCTATTACCTATACCAATCCGTTAAGTGCCCATTATTACGGACTGAACAAGCAAACCAGGTTCATTCAGCGAAATTTGAAAAGGTAGAAAAGAATCGTGACGTCGTTTCTCGATATGGCCATCCACAGACGAAAAATACACCACGTGGGGGTTCCCGGGTATGTGGTCGTATCGATTCTACTATAGTGTTTTAGTTCCCAGTAAAATACTCTCCCGTATATAATAAAATACGGATTTTGTTAATATTTCGCCGGCATTTGTTGGCTTCCCTTATCATGATCACGTGATCATGAATTAGAGTGATCGAGCATTACGACATGAAAGTATTTATTCGAAACAAGAGAGAATGATCTAGCTCATTCTCTCTTGTTCGAAAGGAACTTAACCTTGTGAACACGTAAATCTGAAACTATAATTTTTAAGTGGTTTCGAAGCCAGAGTTTCTCCTATACACGGAAGGGTTTTCGGTCAAACACAGGGGTCACGGTTTTAAGCCCTCAAGGGGCACCTACCTTTATTGAACTTATAACTGCTGCTCTACCGAGGTGGTTAGGTTACATGTATAAAACCAATTCATTGTTTAATTTTACAGAATCCCGTAATAGTTTTTTTTTTCGTGTTGACTCCCAATCAGTCCAACTAGAGTGTACCCATCAAGAACATCCCATACCGGATCGTACGGCGTGCTCATCGATGGTAAAACACTCTCTCGATCTGGATTCTACAGATGGAAACTTTTGGATTAAAGGATTATTTGAACTAGAAGACTCTTCAGTCACTGCATAATGTAAGTGCCACATTTTAAGTTGAGGCACTTAGATATCTTTCTGTACTGTACGGGTGGATAGAAAACGAAGACCTAAGACCTAAGACCCAAACACGAAGACCCCCTTCAAAATCACTTATAAATATCTAGAAACGGGTATCTCGACCTTAGAAGTGTAAGAAACAACAAGATCTTCAATTATACAAAATTTTGACCAGGGTCTTTGTTTTCTACATAATCCCCCGGTGTGTAGAAAACGAAGACCACCCCCTCAAAATCACTTGGAAAAAGCTGGAAACTGCTTTTAACGACTTCTAGACACTAAAGGAGTGTAAGAAACAACACGGCTAGTGACAATTTTCAAAGCTTTTCAGTTATACAAAGTTTGGGCCAGAGTCTTCTTTTTGAACACCCCCGGTGTGTAGAAAACGAAGACCCCCCTTAAAATAACTTGGAAACCGCTGGAAACTGCTTTTAACGACTTCTAGACACTAAAGGAGCTGAAGGCCAGTGTGTGATGTTTAGAGTAGAACTCATATCAAGAGCCGTGAAGAGCCTAGAATTTTATTGGGGAACCGTAAGGGTTTCTCTTCTTTGCAGGGCTTTTCCGAAGGACACTGAAATAAGTAGCTGGTGTGTGTGCGATTTTCATTATAAGAGTTTGCAAGACAACTGCTACTTACACGGGTTACCGTTTTTTTTCGGTACAAAGTTATTTCAATACAAGTTCATTGAGTGAAGTTGTAATATAATTTCACGTACAAAATACTTGGCTCAAAGAACAAAGAATGTTCACACAAACTGTGTTTTCTGGTTCATGCGCAAACTGACCGTAATAAAATCTCGGAAACGTTTCTATCGTCAGTAATAAAGACGTGACTGCGAGCAGAGACTTCAAGACTCACATTTTTCGGATAAAAATGTTGAGGCTGATAGAAACAAGGCTCGGCATTAAACCATGACAACTTTAAGATCTCCGAGTGACATGGTTATTTAATGTCATGGAATGTACTGATGGCAGGATACCAGGATACCCAGCGGGAGCCTCTGCGGAGGAGAGAGCTATGACGCAAATTTTAGAACATTTAAGTAATCTTACTCCTTAGAGTTTCAAAACGGTGTCATTTCAGTCTAGAAATTTTAAGAGTGTTTGACCAAATTGTCTCTCAAGTTCAGTGAAAAGCAGTCAAAAAGTGCCCAGTTGAGCCGTACATAAACACACAATCATGAACTCTTAAGTTAATGTGTTACCTATTCAAATAGGCAGCTAACAAAACACTACTTGGGCCTATAAAACACTATATAAAAGACAGGATTTCGCATGGAATAGACAATAAACATTGAAACGTAGTACGCAAATTATTGCCATCTGATCTGATCCAAACCCTAATGTTCATAGCCATTATGCCCGCTGGCACTAGACCAAGAACCAATTTTCCTGAGTCAAGAATTGGTTTTTAGTAAAATCCAACTAGTTGGTCAAAAATATCGAGACAAAACAACTTTAGCTAGTTAAAGGTAGCTTTTAATCCTTTTTTGCCGCGAAAAAGCAGGCGCTTTTCGCTACTAGTGGGCTATAACATATAGACTAGTAGTAGCTCAACCAATCAGAACGCAGCATTGATAATAATAGACCACTGGTTAGATTTTACTAAAATCAAATAACTCGCAAAAACGCAGGCTTTTAGTAGATAAACATCTGAAAACATTTCTCTCACACTCGTCTTATTCAAGTTCCCGGATGTACAGTCACCCGGTAGGCAGGCAAGCATAGACTCTGTTTTTTACACCAGTAGGATTGGCCCAGCTCAAAGTTCATTAACAATTTTGCTCTTGCCCAATAGATTTGACTCCTAAAACCGTCTTTTCGAGGCCAAAGACTTGTACAATATCCCTACCTTTCTGTCTTAGCCCGGATCATGTGATTGATCCGTTTAGACAAATACAACGAGAATACGGTGAGATATTGGAGGATGCAGACTTTGCTCGCGAATCGTATTAGCTTAATATATATCGTATTAAATATTAAGAGGGAGGGGGGTAAAAAAAGGAGCAAATTCGCGATTTTCTGTCTACAGCCACTTTTACCCAAATCCCTTACCACGAAACAATCGAAAAGAATAAACAATAGAAAAGGTGCAACATAAACAAACAACACAATATAGACAAGCCAATACCGAGAAAAATGAGAGAAATTACAAAATGTTTGCTTACGCGGTTTTCATAAATCCGGGTAAATATACGTTTTCAAATATGTCATGTCCACCCTCGAACTTTTAAGGGATCGTCATCGATTTATGCTCTCTTTCTTTTTTTTCATCTGTTCCTCCTTATCCTCCTCTTCTTGTTGTTCATCATCATCATCATCATCATCGTCATCATCATCATCATCGTCATCGTCATCATCACTATCATCATCATCATCATCATTCTCATCATTGTCATTGTCCTCGTCATCACCATCTTCTTCATCGTCATCATCTTCGCTATCACCGTCCTCATCTTCATCGTCATCGTCATCGTCATCATCATCATCATCATCATCATCATCTTCTTCTTCTTCTTCTTCTTCTTCTTCTTCTTTGCTTTCTTCCTGTAAGCCTTTGTCAGATAATATATCCGTTTCTTCTTTTTGAACCTTTTTTTCATTGAGTTCTTCTTCAATTTTTTGTCTTCGTTCAGCTTCTGAGCAGTCATTGAAAACTTCTTCTATTTCGTCTTCTTCTTTCTCTAGGAATTCTTTTTCATTTTGTTTTTCCACTTTAAGTCTTTCTCGTTGTTCTTCTTCTGAGACACCTTCCAGAACTTCTTCTATTTTGTCTTCTTCTTTCTCTAGGAATTCTTTTTCCTTTTGTTTTTCCACTTTAAGTCTTTCTCGTTGTTCTTCTTCTGAGGCACCTTCCAGAACTTCTTCTATTTCGTCTTCTTCTTTCTCTAGGAATTCTTTTATCTTTTGTTTTTCCACTTTAAATCTTTCTCGTTGTTCTTCTTCTGAGGCACCTTCCAGAACTTCTTCTATTTCGTCTTCTTCTTTCTCTAGGAATTCTTTTTCCTTTTGTTTTTCCACTTTAAATCTTTCTCGTTGTTCTTCTGCTGAGACAAAATGCGAGACAGTAGTACGTATTTCCCGTATGACTGTAAGAAAGCTCCCCTCCTCTCTTGTTCTCTTTTTGAGACGCATCTTTTATATAAAGAAATTAACCCCCTTCTTCTTTTTAAACAGAACATTAAAAGCTGAGTATTTTAGATACTTTATAGCTTTTTATATTTTAATCTATCTGACATTTTAACATTTTAATCAGTAACTTGTATTAAGTTTTTAGTTCTTAACTTTTTACTTATTATGGGGAATATTACTGTTACGTATTTGTCGATCAGTTTATTTTTCTATTGTTTTATTATTCACACGGATAAATTGTGTTCTACGTGACATTTGTGCGGGGGCAGGCTTTATTTTCATCATAGTATAGCGAGCCTAATTCCTGAACGCTGCTAATTCCGAAAGAATGAAACTTAGCCGTACGGAACTGGCCATGTAGGAATCACATGTGAAGACATACCTGTTCGGTTCAATAAGTATTCTCGACAAGCTCTGTATTCCTCGTCCATAATAGTGATGTAAAGCTTTACCGTTGCGAGGCCGAAATCTTTCAATATTCCTTTTGTCACGAGTAAAGTCCGCACCATTTCGTTTAAATGGCCTTTTGAATAGTCTAACCACAGCTCTTCCAGAAACTGGAGGGTTCCACATTCCAATGTAATTGTTGAACGAAAGCTTTGTATTTGAGAGTCAATTTCGCGCACGTTTTCAAGATACTTTCGATAAACACCCTCTGTTTCTTCCACCTCAGATGGACCAGCATGCTGAAAGCTGTAGTTAAAAGCAATTACATTCAACATATCTTCATTCAAGGGTATTTCTCCTTTTCTCTCTCCTTCGATGGGAAGATTATTTGTATCGATTTCTGCTTGTGGTCCTTGTGATCGACTTGAGCAGACACCAAATGGTATCGACGCCACTTGCTCCGGCACTGTTTGGGGTTCCTGTGAACTTTTATTAATCTTTGTAACTTCTTGCGTGCGGGTGTTAGAATCTGTGGTTTCACAGTCAATAAGCATTCGTAATGGAGCTGTAAGGAAATTATTTGTTAGGTTTAGAGACCAAGTTGTTAAATAATATCTTCCTTTTTTCGCAGACTCAGAAGTTGAAAAATGTCTAAAACAACAGCCATATAAAGGTTTAGTTACATATATGTTAGTTGGATGGATCATCTTGGTAACAAGAACCGACGGAGCCCTTTTTCTCCTTTAAATAGATAAAACTAGTAAAAGTATATTCTAAAGAAAGAAGAAGAGAGTACTGAGAAAAAATTTGTTTTTTCAGCAGCGAAGACAGAGAATAAATTGTCCAGAAAGGTTTCCTTGTGTTTCTACTAAATGTCTAAAACGTTAAGAAAATATTGATCACCTACCACCAGTTAACGGAGAACGGTGAGACAAGGACCTGGATTTGTCTCCTGGGAAGCAAACCGGAGTGCTTAACTGTGGAGCTATTTCTTCTTGGGCCTTTCGCAAGTCTTTGAGCCCTTGCGAGATTTCTTGTCGTGTCTCTTTAATCAGCTGTGGCATTTCATTGACCGTCTTCTCCAAACGATCAATTTTTAGTTCTAGTTCTTGAACGCATGTTTTGACCTCCATATCATTTGTATACCACCTCTCCAATTCTTGAACATTTCTGTTGTCCTCTTCTGTGAGAGGAGCCCTCAAAAAGTCATTAATGGCTTTTGTCCACTGAGTTTCCTTCTCAGGACTAATGCTTTTTGCGAGCCGTACAAGGGCTTCACTAACCTCTTGCCAAAGTCGTACAAACTCCTCCTTTGAGATCTCCATGTTTTTTTTATGACCGTAAATCGAGTTTCGGTAGTATTTTATTCTGACTAAATCTGCCGTTAGACTGTGGTCTGTACTCACTGGCAGAGCATCCCATCCCATGGCAGGAGGGGTCAGGCCGCATATTGACCTCAGCAACCGGAACAGCAGGGTAACATCAAAGTCTGTTGACTTGCCGTAAACGCCAGAGGACGGATGTAGACAGTCCCACTGTGGTTTGATGAGTTTTGCTTTGAGTAGCTTAGTCCATGTAGTAGGCATCTTAAGTATTGAGGGAAGCTGGCTTGGCGGACAATAAACGTCAAAAATTTCCCTAAACAGGCTGGCGCCGCCACCCATCAATAGTCTTGTGAGGCGTTGAAAATTATCTTTTCCTTCCGTTGAACGAAGCACTTCTTTGGGGTCTAGAGCAACTGCCATTGCTGAATGAACTGTGGATCACTAAAAGCAAGTCTTACAGATGAAGTAATCTATTTTATCTTCGGCATCTCACACGTTAACTTCAGTCTGCGACAGTATTGCTTATAAGTGTAAAAGAGCGCGACAGTACTTTGGCAGCCAGTAGGAATTAAGGATGTGACACTACATTACGAAAATCTAAAAATAGAAAAAAAATTAATGCTGATCATTAGTATGCTGTAGTATAAACTCGCTACTTAAGTTTATTAACATTTTCACGCTATATGCGTAAGCACACATCTAGAAAGTAAACAAAGGCAAACTAACAACTTGTCTTGATACTGAAAATCATAGATGAGTTTACAGCTCAGCTACTGAATAGATGATCGCCTTTTGTTATACCGATCGGGGAGCAGATTAATTTCAAAACCGTGCCCCACCTGGAACTGCCGTAATCAATCAGTCGTAAGAACATTAATAGTTGCAACTAAAAGCATAATATTTATTCTGAGGCACATGCTCGTTTTTCCCATAGAGCTTTAAGCATGAAATTAAGTTAAGTTGAAATTTCTAGCATTAATCAACAGCAACATGAGGCGATAACTTTTTCGCACTAGAGGGTTGCATTTAAATGCTAGCCTGGGACTCAAAATAGGCAGTACACATTCAACGTACTTTTAAATTTCGATGTTTTCCCTTTGTTTTCCAGTCGCGTGATTGATTAATCAGATAAATCGTATCAAGACTTCGATTCGATTGTTTTGAAATTAACAAACTTTTCAGATGAATCAGTCACTCACAGGCAATTCAAGTTTGGACAAGAAAAAGAAAGACCTTTCTTTCCTCGAAGCCCTTAACGATAACCTATTTAATGGAATGGAAAATCCAAGCCTTCTTAATTAATTTTCATTGATGTTTTAATAACGAAGGCGTTTGTGAAGTCTTTCACATAGGCTTACCTTTGTAAGTATGGGCAAGTTAGAATTTTTTCTTCACAGCTGTGCATGTACTGATGGGAGCAACAACAAATCGCCTGCCGGAGACAGGCTTGAGTTACGATTCAGGTTTCGTTCAGTTATGATGCAATGTCATCCCGGAAATAACTATTCAAGTATTAGTTTCACTTTCGCACAATCGTTCCCAGTTCCCATTCAGACCTACCCCTTCACCTCCCCTCCACATCTTTGAAGACAAATAAGGGACTCCTCGCACACTAGCATGTGGATTTTATTTTAGCGTTTTTCCCTACACCAGTAAGGTACCACCCTGGTGTAACAGTTTGACTTAACAGGAGCAAATATGTAACACTGACGTCTTCTCCGACAGATCAATTGCATGATTTAATTTACCATGAATCGAAATAAACTTAAACCGCCATTAAAAAAAACACATATTCAAAAAATACCTTAATTTATCTGTGATACGCCTAGTCAGTAGTTTCAACAAAGCACACATTGATATCGCCCTTTCAATGACTGGATATCAGAACACTAAAGAATTCCTTGGCGAACGTTAACGTTTCATATTTTTATCACATAGTTTATACGTATACAGTATCGTAATTCGTTACTGCTGTGGGCGAATCAGTCGATAGATAAAGCATGAAAAAAGGAAGGCCATACTGAACTTATTATTGTTCCGTAGTATTTCCCATAATAATAGTAACAGCTGAGGCTAATTTACATCAATTCTCTATTTATAAGACGACCAGAGTAGAAGTTATGTTAAAGTTCGATTCAACGACAAAAAAAAGCATGTACTGGGGTGAATAGACTAAAACTATCTTTTATGTCGCCGACAACTGCAAGGCGTACATCGAGTAAAGAAAAAAATGAATGGAGAACAGAAAAATTTAATGCACAGATTCGCAAATGTGAAAAAAAATCAGACTATGCAAACTAATCATATATATTACCAGTAGAAATGAAAAAATGTCCATCCCCCAAAAAATAGATTTCGTTTTCACGTGAATCTTGTATTGGTTTCTTACTGCACTTCGAAGAACAGTGCTTCTCTTCAAATCTAAACGGCTGGATTTATAATTATTTAGGAGTGGATCTTTCCAGACTTAATAGACATCCCCACACCTCTTCACAATTAAAGCCAAACCTCTTAGTGCTGGATGCCGGGACCGGGGGCGTGTTTTTCAGTGTGTTTTTGACCGCTTGTTTTTTGCTGAACGCCGGATAGTAACACATATCCAGACAAATCAACAAACACGAGTGATTTTGTTGAACTTGCCGTCGGGATCACGAGTGTACAACAAACGCGGTTAATTTTCAGCTGACGGGTGGCAGCTGGTTTCTTTGATGGCCAATTCAGTTGTTTGTTGGTCAACCTGTTTATCCTGTTTTTGTTGTTGTAGTTGTTGTTTTCACAAGGGTACTCAGTCAGAAAAACATGAGGCCCATTTACTACAAGGTGTTATCGATAGATCTCGAGTATCTACCTCTATGAATAATCAAATGTCAACGACGAAACAAGCTGGTCGTCTTTTCACGGGACCGGTGAAATTGATTGCTGACTCACAAATAATCGTGAAAACCATAAATAATTTATTTAACTACTATACAAAGGAGTTGGGATTCTAAAAGGCTACAGGTAGTTAAAGTTTTTGCGGAATCGAAATGTAACTTTCCAACCTGTGCGACTTTTTTACTAAATTAATGGAGTTTTTCGGGGGTTGAGGACATAATAGCAGGCCACGTGAACAGTACAGTCGTTCCAGTTTGCCTTAAAATGTTGCTTTCAATGAGTATAAGCAGTTACCAACAAAAGGCTTTTTGTATTCTTAATAAAGATTTCTGTTTACACTCATGTGTATCTCTAAAGTTCAACAGATCCACAGGTATCCAGTTTTTGCATGACTGGCTGGCTTGTGTGCACTCGAGCTGGAAAAATATCAGCTGTTTTCTCAGTATAGCACCTATGGCTTGTCACCCTTCTAATAGTGCAAAACCATGGTTGTTTACCATTTACATGGGCAAACCAGTCGGTTCACGGTTTGGGTAAATGGTAAAAAAAAATTCAGGAATTGCAAATTTCGTCCTTGAATCGAGTTTACCATAGTGTACAAATCAGTTCCATCAAGAGAGAATGAGGTATTCTCCTCTCGGCTTGGTTCCTTTCACCGATAAACTGGGCCTCGAAAACCTGAAACTCAGTCAAAGAAGGCTTTGAAGAAATGGGACGTGAATTCGCAGTTTCGTTTGAGCCATTCTTGTACGGAAAAACAGGACTAATGCTTTTAAGATATTCCGTTGCTCCCTGAAAATTTCTTACAAAACAGCCGAAAAAGTCGTGTTCCATTTAGTTTCCAGCCAGAGTTTCCGGAAACTTTTTTTTAAATGGTCAAACAATACCGCTCTGAGGTCGCAGTGGGCACTGACAGTAGGGGAAGAAAAATGAGTATTGTGGCGACGACTCTCTCAGTTGTAAGCTAAGGTCTTCAACTACATTTTGCTTATTGTATCGTCTTAGATGTCAATTGCAAGGCAACCGTTTCAGTGCAGAATAAACATAGTTAACCATGCAACATATGAAAAACAAAACAAACAAACAAGGAGAAGCGTTTAATAGATATTATTTACTGCTGAGACCCTAAAAAATTTCGATTTTTTAACCAACGTGCCTTCTAACATTTAATCAAAGTAAACAACGGGGACCCCTCCAACGTACCTATAGCTCCGCGACAGATTCAGTGTTCACACTATGCCGGACAGCTCTTGCGCCAGCATGAAAACTATACAACAGGATTAGGGCTTCTGGTCACACATAGAAGTGGTGATTTCGGCGCCATTTCTGTAAAAGAGCGAGTCGAAGTTTCACTATTTGGTGCAAATGAATCTTGTTACAGTCAAACCAGGTCAAGCGTTCCCGTCGCTAACGAACTAATGAATTCATTCACGGAAAAATGATTTCGTTTGTTGATTCAATAATCCATTCATAAAATGAACAATCCAATATTCATATTTAGCCTCGATTCCATAATGGAATGGTGATTCGATTACTGTTTTTTGAAAAACTACACTTTCCACAAGTTGACCTCAGAATTTTGTTTTTTCCTCTTTTTTTCTGAGAGTCGAGTACGGACGAGTTCTGAAGTTCAAACCCAAACCCAAACAAACTGTTACATGTACGCCAATCAGTTCAACGGACCTGACCTCTTAGAAAACACGACGGTCAAACTGAGGTCAATGTATGTGCGGTGATTGGTGGATTTCGATCCTCGGCCTTGTCAGTTTCTTTGCCTTTGCGGTCTGTCTTTTCTAGCTGTTATTTTGATCAAAGGCAATCGTAAACGGCAGGAAAAGGGAAGCAAATACGATTGAATACAACAGACAAGAATAAAGAACCGGTAGATTTTGTTCATAAACCAAATCAATATTTGATTATTGAATCGAGGTACAATTTGACTGTTGGATTATTCGTTTTATGAATGGATTATAGAATCAACAAACGAAATCATTTTACCATTAATGAATTCATTAGTTTGTTAGCGACGGGAACGCTTGACCTGGTTTGACATGTAAAAGGCAGCTACTTCTCTACTGCTCAGGATGACAGGGTGATGGGCTCCTGACGTTATTCAGCGCATACAAGTTTTTATAAGATTCTGAGCTTCCTCTTTCATTTCCATGGGATAAAAGCGTCTGCCCCGACGCATTTCCCCCGGCCCTGTTTCCGCTTTCCCGCGTCCCCGCCAAACTGGCCTTTAGGCCCAGCCTCCGCTGACAGGCCGCCACATACTTTTGTTCCCAATCCACCGCAGTCAAGCCAATTCAAGATGGCGGATTCAACGAGGTTATTGTGCTTAAAATCTGCGGTATTCATTTTAAACATTTTATTCTGTATTTTTTTTCGTCCTGACTCAACCTCGGCAGATTCAGAAGTCCTTGAGGAATACTCTCTTTCGGACGTCACAAGAACTGTAAACGAAAGATGCATTTTACTTGCACTGCGTCCTAGTAAAGGCGACGATAACCTCGTTTCTATTCTTCGAAAACTATCTAGGGCTTTCAAGAATGAAAATCGAGCGAAAGTTGGAGTTTTAAAACAAACAGATGTGAGCTTGATCAGCTGGGAACAATTAAAGGGGCAGGATATGGTTGAACAAGACGATCTGGCGTTTTTTCCGCGCAAAATGGAAGATAGATCATGTCTTTTGAAACCCAGCTGGGAAAAACCTCCTAAAGCTCAGCCATATCTAGGACCAAGAACCGTTCAGGAGTTACTTGCATTTATGAACAAAAATTGTCAAACCTTAAGGCAAATGGATGGAAGTTTATCGCCCGCTGGCTTTGCAAAGGACAAAATATTAGAAAATTTATTTCGAGTTCACAGTAGCCAGGACCCAAGTCAGCTGGGTTCAAATTCTGGACCCATTAACATAGCCTCTGAATGTGAGAGGATTCCAATGCCATCTAAACAACAATTTTTTCAGGAGTATTTTTTGAGAGCAAAGCCAGTTGTTATTACAGGTAGGATGACTTTGCAGCATATTTATCAAAAAACAGATACAAAAGAAAAACTGCCAGAAATATTGCCTGTCAATTGATCACCTCACCACCCTTTGCTGAGGAGATTTCATGAGTGAGATGTCTGCATTTAGTGCTTTTTTTATCATAGGCTACCCATCTGGTTAGAGAAATTAGTTTGATAAGTTGTACAATGTTCAGGTAAATTGGCGGTTACGCTGGGTCAACAAATCACTCTGTAGACTTCTTGCAGTCTGACTTTTCTCATGAAATCCATTCATTTCTTAACATTGTCATAGCCAGTTTGCTTGCAAACAATGACACAAATATAGATGCATTATGACAATAAGGGATTACAGTCAAGCCAGGTCAAGTGTACCCCACAAGATTCCACTATTGAATTTAGTCTTCAAAAGCTGAATCCATTGGTAGTTGTAGATTCAGATTCATCTCTGTATTCTTGTAATGTATGTGTAATAAGCCTTGAATTCACATGCAAGGCAGTTATGAAATTTCTACCAGTTCAGTGTCCCTGCGTTGATGTAGATGTAGACCTTTGAAGCAATTTCATCTACTCAAAGATTTTCAATTATCTGACCAAACACAGAGAAGTTCTCGTAAAATATTCACTGCACATTATGCACGCAGGAATGCTGATTCATGAATTTGACACCAGTTACGGGAACAACCAGCAGATTCATATTTTATCAAAAAATCAGTTCATTAAAAGAATCTTGTGGGGTTCGCTTGACCTGCCTTGACTGTAAGATGAGACCAAAAAAGACCGACTGCAGACTATTTTGTAGCAAACCACCCCTCCATCATTTCAGAAATGGAGAAGCTGATTGGTCAATTTTACTGTATTTACAGATCATTGACTAGACAGTGGGAAGTCTGGTGTGAGATAGCAAGCAGAAAATTAAAATAGTCGCGCATCACAACTAACCACAAAGCTAGTGGTAATCGCACATCAGAAGAAAACTGCTGTAATTTCCTTAACAAAAATTAGGAAGTAAAGGTGATCTTACAGGATTTAAGAAGTGTAATTTGTCAACTGTTTATGCTCTATTTATAAATCGGTCAAGTTACTCTGTTTTATTGGTTAACAAAATCACCTTGAGAGCATTGTTGTCCCTAGATAGAACAAAAAAGTCAGGAGTCTCTTATTTTTTCTTCGTGGGCTTATGCCCTAATTTATCACAGCTAATGATTGCCACTCACCCAGCTCACCTGCATTGGCTATGCATGAAGCAACTTTGCAAATTAACCCTTTAAGCCTTAAGGGTTATCAGCATCAAATTTCTCCTTGTAATATCAATGCTTTGTAAAACAGAGTGGTCATGAAAATTACAGACATGATCACAAAAGATGAATTTAATTTAATTTTTGCTTTATATTTTATCAACTTCTCCCCACTACTTCTGTTGGAAATGAATAGGGGGAAACAAATGAGAATTCAAATTTTGATCCTAGGGTTTAAAGGGGTAAAGAAAACTAAGGAGCTGTTCCCAGTCTAGTCACACTGTTGCTTTTTCATTATTTATTTATTAACTTTTGTTTACTCTCTATAGGTGCCTTAAACAACTGGCCAGCTATGAAAAAGTGGACTAGTGAATTTCTAGCAACAAAATTTGGAAGCAAGATGGTTCGAGTAGCCTTTGCCCCATATGGTGAATATGAAGGATGTGAAAAGGCCGAAAACTTTGACGATTTTAAGGAATTTACGTTTCCTGATGCTGTCAAATCCCAGCTGCAGTTTCCAGATTTAGTGGTTGTTCGCCCTGCATTTCGCGAAATTCCTTTCTCCACCTTCATGGAGATACTGCAGTCTTCAAATAATAGTGACATCTCTGCATATTTAGAGTATTCATCAATCCCTAGTCTCTTGCCAGAACTTGAGCTAGACATCAAAGAAATGCCTTTTGTTACTGGTGAATTAAAGAGGAGACACCTCAACATTTGGCTCAGTAATGGTAATACCTTGGGCAAGCTGCATTTTGATCCTTTTGATAATTTTCTTTGTCAGGTGAGTACAAATGCAGTTAATTCTGACAACTTTCAGGCTCTGAGTCAAACAATTTTCTTTTCAATTCTTATGGTCTAATTATGGCAAACACTTCAAACAGAATTCTTTTGTCTGTTTTCATCAATGCATATACACACATATACCACACAAATGAGAAACAAATCATGTTTGTAGGCAAGCCTTAGAATTGTTTACCATTTTACCACAGACCACGAGTTTGGAGAGGAGTTTATTGTCAGACTGAAAAGCTGAGATACAAAACCTGGGGGGTACTCCACATATTAAAGGGGTGGGGATGCTTGTCAGAAATTTTGAATTAAACCCCTAAAGGAAACGGACCTGGGCGTGGCCCAAGCTTTTTTTGACCCCTAAAAGAGACCAAAAAGATATACATATCAAATATGTCCTTTTATATTTTTTTGCGTGCAACCCTAAACGAGACCTTCACGGCTAATATTTTAATATGATGGCGTTTTGCCCAGAACACCCTAAGTGAGACCAAAATCTGAAATTTACACCCATAAGCAAGACAACAAGCATTCCCACCCCTTTCATATGCCGAGTCCCCCCAGGGGGGCACTTGGGTAATTTTTGGGTGGGTATGTGCCGCCCGGGACTCCAAATTGGCACCCCGTTCTAAAAAAATTTCCCCTAAAATTGATACCCCGTTCTAGAAATAGCTTAGAAATGGGCCAATTTTTTATACTGCGTTCTAGAATTCTCCCTAAAACTGATACCTCTTTCTAGAAATGGGCCAATTTTTTATACTCTGCTATAGAAAGTTTGTAAATTGAAATAGCCCTGTTTTTTTAAAAAGACATTTCTTTATTTGTTTGACTTATACATCATATAAATGCTTCTTCATAATCAGCAACAATTTTAAGCAAAAGATAAAGCCGTGATCCACAATTTTTTATACCCTGTTCTAGAAAACGCCTCTGAAATGGATACCCCGTTCTAAATCAGGAGCTTCAAAATCACAACCCCGTTGGGCGGCACATACCCGTATAGGTTATGTATGGGAGTACCCCCCTGGGCGAGTCCCCCCGGTACAAAACTAGGATTTGATAATATAACTCCCAACACCCAAACACAAACTGAAAGGTGGTTGGTGGTTAAATGAAAGTAAATTAAAATACACCTCAACAACAAAAATAGTAGTGAACAAAATTCAACAAATGTCAATAAAATGCTAATTAATGAATTTTAGAAGCCATAGAATTAACCGCACTGCATTTTTTTGCGGGAGACATCTCTAAATAAACTAAGTATGCATCGAAATGATCTTGACAGCAGTTCAACTAAAATAAACTGACTAACACTTGATGAACACAATGCTCTCATTACAATGCTTGTGTCATTATCACAATTAATCATCCTCAGTGAGGTGACAATTGACACACCTCCATTTGGGCTCTGCCATAGTCAAGGATTGAATATTTTTTAAAAATTTTTTAGATCAGTGGGACGAAAGAACTGTTCATTTATGAGCCACATGAAAACACGAAACTCTATGAAGCGCACATTCAGGAAGCTTCCCTTGACTACAATCCAGTCACCAAGAAGTTCCGCCGCAAAAAACTTTTGGAAAGTACATCCATGGTCATGTCTCCTGTCGATATTCTTAAACCTAATTATGACAGATTTCCAAAGTTTAAAGAGGCCAGAGCCTTGAACTGTACAATAAATGAAGGTGATGTTCTCTTTATGCCCTCATTTTGGTGGCATGAGGTGCAATCATATCCTAGTAAACAAGAACAAAGAAATGTTGCTGTGAATTTTTGGTAAGAGAGCTCTTTTAAGTTGATAATAAATTTATAAGGATCTTAAGAATGATTTATTACACCCCGGCTGTGTTTTCACTAGGACAATTTTAACTAGATAAAGCCGGAAAAGTCCGGAAATACAGTGAAAACACCTCGTCTTGGTTTTAGCTAGTTAAAAATGCAAGCTGTTTTCACAAGCAAAAACAAGGGATTTTCTCGCCTTTACGAGCGGAAATTCACGCAGAGTTATACTACCTCGCGAGATGGTATAACTTGTCCTGATAAACGCTGTAGCCAATCAGGTCGCGCTTAGTGACAGACGCCTGCCAAATAATCCGGTAATATTATTTTCCAGAGGCTATTGCTTCTTGGTTGAGCTTGAGAAATTCAACATGGCAGACAATTCCAACAGTCATTTCTTTCGATTTACAATCCCACCGACCCCACTGCATTGTCTATTTCTTCGGCCAGATCCTTAAACCAGAATTTTGGTCTTGGATAAACCCACATAGTCTTGCGCTTATCCCAGTTATGGCACTGAATAATTGTTTCGTTGTTGCATTGACAGAATTAAAAGATTTCGTCGCATCTTCCTCATTTGTAAGGACATAAGCCTCATTTGCTGAATAAAACTCCTTCTCCTTCGCAAAAATACAGCGAAAATAATCACACCAGAAGTCATTACAAGCACTTCGTCCCCTTTCATTTATTATTATGGCACGCTTTTGCAATTTGAATCCTCTGAGTTAGTGGCTTAGATTGCCACAGTGAAAACAGTTGTCAGGTTTAACTAGTAAAACTCGGTTTGTAAACAAATCCTAGAAAGAATGTTCAGCTAGTTAATCACCCTAGTGAAAACACAACCCCCATTTGCCACACTTACCTGTTAGATAATATTGTTTGACTTCATCTTCTGAATTCTGGAAATCCCAGGATGCCACACTTTATAAGAATAAACTCTGTTACTTCTAGACTGTAATGTGGTTGAAAACCATAACCTTCACAGTGGCCACACCAAATGCATCACATAGACTATTCTATAATATTTGACACAGCAGTCTTCCTCCCAACCCCCAACCCCCCCCCCCCATGCCCCCACTCCAGAATTTACATAAGCATTGTTGAACTATGGTTTCACTTAACTTAAATTTTCTCATTATTCAAAGTTGGTTTTTTGGTTCTTTGCTGTAGGTATGAGCCATTTTTAACAAAGGAGTTCCCCTGTGCCACATGCACGATGAATGTGAATCCTTTTTATCATCACATATTAGAATCATAATTATTAATTTTGATCACAATATTATTCACGCTAATGGTTGTACAGTCATTTAGATTTTAAAAACTAAATATTTATTAACCCTTTTACTTCTAACAATATTATTAAAAACATTGAACGTTAATTATTAGCATTTTGCTGTTGATTGATACTCTCCCTTCCACTTTGTTAGTAAGATACTTGTTAATCGCTTGCCGGTTTTGTTGCATAATGAACCTGTCAGTGTTAAACCCCTTGGAAACAGAGGTTGGGCACATCTGGGCTGTGTGGCTTTTAAAATTTTGATCAAAATTTCTAACACTGGTTCGTAAAACTGGAACAAATCCCCAAGATCTCTCAAGAGGTGCTAGTATTATCATCAAACAACAAATTCAATTTGAAATTAGTTCCCTTTTCCTCAGTTTTCTGTACAATTCCTGGAAGGCCGCAAAACGGTTCCATGGACATGACTCCTCTAATGGTGATCATTTTATAATAATAATAAGAAGAAGAATGTTATTAAAGAATGATTGAATTATAATATTATTGATGATGATAATTAATGAATAATAATAAGAAGAAGAAGAAGAAGAATGATTGACTTGAATGACTGATGCTCCAGGTGCAATGTTTGCTCCTGTGACAGAAGAGACAACAACAACAATAATAATAATAATAATAATAATAATAATAATAAGTGAAAGGAGAATTGCTAGAGTATGGAACTTGGAGACAGCAGTAGTTCCTGTGGTGATTGGTGCCCTTAGCTCCATTCCTAAGAATCAACAGAATGTGGCAGATGAAGACTTGAATAATCCCAGTGGTGGTAGGTGCGTTAGTGAATGTTGTTTTTTACAGTAAGGCTCAGAAACACTGCAGAGACAGGGTAGTAACGAGGTATGTGGGATCAGGGAACAGAAGCCCGAAACTAGGCATCAAAGCTGTGAGATCATGTAGGGATCAGAGACAAAATCCCGGGATCAATACCAGTTTGGACCTATCGAGAGAGGACCTTAAATTCTAAAATCATGTTATATCCTAAATTTTCAACAATTAATCCAAACCTGCCAAGTGACAAGTTAAAACTGGCCACGCAGCTCTACAAATTTGGAACTTAACTGCTTGTATATCAAAATCCATAGGCGTACGGGCAACTATGGACTTAGGGGTCGGTGACCCTTTTGTCCCAAAAAATTACGCAGTGCCCGAATGCCTGAGTTTTACAATCGGAATAAAAAACGCACTTGTATTCTATGAAAAGGAAAGACCTTTACAATTCTCACACTTAGTGAAAGAGTTCTAATTCCAGAAGTAGTTATTTTGAAGCCTTGCGTACTCCATCATCACTATTGACAGTGTACTCGATATAGTAAAATCATAAACTTGTCAAAAACAGGTTATTTCTCCTGTGGCGTAGTCCGAAAATTTTAATAATTATTGTCCTGTCCATACTGTTCACAATCACTTAATAAGCTCTCCGCTGGGTATGATGTTGCAGAGATGACGGCCAGAATAGATGCGACCTTGGAGAACCCCGGGTCATTTCCAAAAGGTTGTTTTCGTGCAATACTTCAATTACTTTTTCAGCTGTTTTTGTTGTTTTCTGTACGTGTGTTGTCTTGAATTGACTGAACAGGCCTTTGTCTGTTTGGAGTACAGTAAACACCCCCAATATAAGAACATATGATTTCGGGTTCAGGCTGATCTAGTTCTTATTTATCTGGTGCTTAGTGAGAAATCAGCCTGAAGATGTTCTTAATATGTTCTTAAACTTTGTTTCATGGATAAAAAGTAATAATAAATTCAGATAGTTTATTACATGTATTTGACATTTATGTCGTTCAGCTAGTTGCAGCATAACATTATCCTCTGGAGCATAAAATCCTAAAGACGCCCGGGCAACTGTTGTAGTTGTGTAATTTTCTAGTAGCAACCATTATAGTTACATTGCTTTCTTGTTCCAACACCCTCCCCCTTCATTATATAAGAACATGTTTTATTTGCCAGGCTGAACTGGTTCTTATATATATGGTGTTTTATGGGCCAAATTTCAGCCTGATGTTCTTAATGCATTTGTTCTTATATGCGGGTGTTAACTGGCTGTAGCTCCTTGGCAAAGAGGTCAAAGCTATGACTGGTCGATGGATAACTAAGGATGATATCACCCAACGCACAAAGATCTTGGTCATTTCCACTGAATCGATTCTCAATTTCGGCCAGGATCTTTTCTAGAGAGGTGAAAAAGGTGTTGACATGATGGTAATCCTCTGGTTTCGACAGCGGGGGAGCAGCATTGGCGTTTTGGTTTTCCCCGACTAACGCTTGTAAGCGCGGTGAGGGTTTTCTAGTGACACAGGAGCATCGCGAAATGAGAAATCGGATTTAGTAATCAGTATAGCACAGTTTCCACGCCGTGACTAAGGTGAAGCTCTCCTTAAAGATTCCAACTCAGGATGGACATCACGGGAAAGAATGAATGAATGTAATCGACAAGTTTCCATCATCTGTTACCACTTGATTGACACAACACATCCTGATTCGGCATGTGTCCGTCTAGCCTGACGTTTGAGAATGACAGTTGTTTTTTTTTTTCTTTTGTTTTAACCGCTGTTGCCCGAATCCTGAGCGTTTTGCCCGAAAAATTTCAAAATTTTCGAATCTTGGGAGCGGGGCTACCGCCCAGGCCCCCGACCCGTACGCCTATGTCCAAAGCTAACTATTACGTTAAACATTCATTATCTTCGTCGGGCGTCAGGTCCAGCGATCGTCAAATTGCATATTAGCTGGTTTCTCAAGTCTCATTGCATTTCTCATCCATATCATTGGTTGAAATCCCTCTAGGAGAAATTTAGAAGCTTGTAGTGTGCGCTCGTAAAATCACGCCTGTCTAGTTTTCTGTCTTCTTCTCTTGCCTAATTGCCTCTGGCAATGAGGAACACGGAGAAAAGGATACAAAAGAACAGGGATCGCCGGTACTTATAGAAATGACGTTACTTTTGACCTTCATTGCCCTAATGACAAAGGATAAATTAGTCCTTGGAAGAAGCTGTTTTTCTTATAATTGACAGAGTGAAGCATGCTGTCCAGATGTGAGGTTGACTTAAACAGGTTGCAGAAAGTTGATCTCAAGGCATTAGTTTGTGAGCGCAGCAAAGTACAGGTGTTTGCATTACTTACAGTCAGGAGCCTAGTAGGCTCATGTTACAGTTAGGAGCCTATCACCCCGCAGCCTTCATCTCCCACACTGGCCCTGTGACAAAAAAACTCATTGCCAGACGCCCCTGAGATACAACCTGATCCAACCAATCAGATCTTCGTTTATTTTTCATTAGATGCAGCAAGATCATATATGTAACGTAATAACTACTGTCTCTTTACACGGGGAATAGGTTCCTGTTACAGTACATGAAAAATAATGGAAGTACAAGCTTGATAAGCAAGCTGGAGATTCTGTCCTACCTTTCTCTGTGTTACTGCCTTGTTAGGCGAGTTAATGTTATACCAACCCTGTACTTTATTGAAGAACTTCACCCTTTTTGGCGTCTATTTTTACTCAAAGTTTTATCTCCCACCTACAAAATTCTTACTTTACGCTTGGAGTTCCATGACCATACGTCGCGTGACCTAGCGTGACTTGTACATAATGAATGAGATTGGATGGCCTGTGGTCTAGCCTGTGGCGGCCGGCACAAAATGGCGGCGGCACGTATTCAAGTGACAATTTGTCGACGACCTTTGCTGTTACTTACATTGATAATAATTGCTATTTTTGTTTTCCGTGCTTTTCTTAATGTTCGTTTTGGTGATGGGTCTAGAAATAGATCCGGTGAAATTAGCATGCTGACTCTAAACATTTGGTATTCAAGCGAAAAGATGCAAGAAAGGATGGAAGCAGTGGGAGAGTTAGTTCAAGATCTCGATCCAGATTTCCTTATATTTCAAGAAGTTGCTCAACACAATCTTCTACTTTTGGAGAAGCAAGGCTGGTTTTCTCGATATTACTTGATTCCACCGAAAGCTGACACACTGAAGCGCATCGAGGTGGGGAAAAGCTGTGCAGTTATTTTAAGTAGGTATGTTGTGAACAACTGGCAACAGCACGCGTTTAACAGTTTCGGTAAATATCGCCGTGCATTTGTAGCTGGAGAATTTGATGATGTCGTCCCATCGATCAAAACTAAATTAGTAGTTGCAGGTACGCACTTGTCACACGATGTACCAAGATCAAGGATTCGAGAAGAACAGTTAAAAGAAGCTCTTCAAATCCTCAACCCTTACAAAAATGTTTGCTTCATGGGTGATTTGAACATTTTGGATGAAGTTGATGGGGAGGTTGTGCTACCGTCGCCATGGTTTGACGCTTGGCTTTCTCTCCCTGGAAATACTCACAGCAGTGGATACACTTTTGCTCACAACACTTCTCCTTTTGCTTCCGTTAGAAAAAGAAATGGAACTAGTAAAGGACGTCTTGATCGCATTCTTTGCAAATTTTCAGACTTTGAAGTTAAAGAAATGAAAGTTGTTGGTAATAAGCTTACCAAATCTGGTATTTTACCCAGTGATCATTTTGGAGTATTTGCTATCATCAAGCCAACAACAAGAACTAACAGGCGGAGGAAAGTTTCTCAAACTGAGAGTGAAGAAGTTTACTTTAAGAGACCACTGGGTTTGGGAAAAGTTATAAATCCAAAAGACATGTAGGCTGTCTACCATTACATGGGCAAATCAGTTGGTTTATGACTTGGGTAAATGGTAAGCAAAATTCAGGAGCGGTAAATTTCTTCCCGGAATCGCGTTGACCTTTTGTACAAATCAGTTCCATTTACTGAAAACTGGCAGCGAAGGCCTGAAAGTGGTATCAAAGTTGGCTTCAAAGAAATGGAACACCAGTTTCCATTTGGAACATTCCGTCCGGAAAAACAGGACTTGCTTTTAAGAAGTTCAGTTGCTCTTGGAGATTTTCCGCTGGAACGACTCAAAAAGTTGTGTTACATTTACTACAACTTCCAACCGAATTTTCAGGAAACGTTTTGTAAGTGGTAAACAACTGAGGTTACAACCCTTGAGTAGGAGGTTACAGTACTTCCATATTGGTGCTACCAAGAGTTTGTGCGATTTTCTTCATCCAGAAATAGCTGCTGGAATTCTTCAGTGGCATCTATCCCAGAAAATACCTGAGAGAGACCACCCTCAAAATTTCCAAAGCATTCAAACTTTTTCCCATCCCTCTCACTTGCATGTCTAGGATAGCTGCTATTTCAGACCAAAATGTGTATTTTCTGTTCCTGATGTTTACCAGACTCATATCTGTTTTCAGTTGTCCTGTGTCATATATACTTCCACACATCTTAATATTAATATTGTATCACAATTATACCAAAAATTATTATTGAATGACAGTATTGGTTATTTCTGTTTCTCTCTCTTTTGAATTTGAAGAGGACTGAATGAAATATGTTCAAAAGGGTATCAGAGTTTGTACGGGTTATGAAGGAAGCTGGAAAGTCATTAAATTTGAGAATTTCATTTTCCAGGCCTGGGAATTGGCAAAGTCAATGAAATTTAATTGTTGGTCTTGGAAATTCATGGAAATTTGGTACATTATAAGTTGTTGTGGATGTCAAAACAAGGGCTATGTGAAATAGAGGTGAGAAATTAAGCAACAGAAAGTGAAAACACTTTATGTCACTTTGGTGGACACCAGAGTTTATGTCAAGTTGAACTAAAGTGAGGTCCAAAAATGCCCTGAAACAGAGAAAGATTTGAAAATTTTGGAAAGTGACTGCTAGACTTAAGGTCATGGAAAAAGTCATGGAATTTGAAGAGCTCGAAAGAGTATGAACCCCGTAATAGCATTTATAAATGCTACAATGACATGTAGACTGCACACTCAGGAAAGAGTAAAATATCAAAAAACTGTTATGTCCGTACTGTGATAAGCTTTTGTTTTGAGCCAGTGAGCTCATAACTTGTGTAAATGAAAGCACAAGCCTCATGTCCAAAGTCAGTAATGTAAATAATTTACAGTATGGATTAGTACGGAAGAGTACATGTATAACCACAAAAACGAATCAAGTCATCTTAATTAGCAACGGCTTTTCCGCTAACTTTTCAGTGAAGTGCAAGCTCAGACCAGTTTAGGGTGAAAAGTATCAAAAATATTGTTAAAAAAAACAATAATTGTTCATTCAGATACAAGCATCATGAATGTTATACATAGTACAAGAATATACCCTTTCCTATCAAAACAAATTCTAGCAAGTAGGGTGATTTTTCTCAACCCATAATAAAGTGGATAGTAGACTAATACACAGTATTCCACTTTAATTTCATTGTTTTCTTTTGTTTACTTGCAGCTATTTGGAACTTTATTGTTACATGCTGTTTTGAAATTGCGTTAAGTAAAATCTTGCACATATGTATGTACTGGTATATCTTTTGACGGGAGTAGTGGAGTGAGTGAAGTATGTAAGTGCAGGGAGGTGCAGGGTAGGTGACACAGACAAGAGAGACAAAATTAAGTACTCCTCATTGTCTTTATGGTTTTATTTATGCATAAATTGTCATTATTTTTATTGTGATTTTGCCTGATTAAATAATTTGTTATTCCCAAGGACTGTAGGCAAATCCGAAGGCACTCACCTTGCCAAGCATTTGTTCACTTTTGTTTTGTTCAGTAAATTTTCGAATATTTACAACTTTTTACAGAATGTTTATCAATGCTGCCATTTACCAGCGTCTCTACTACCTAAAGTATAAAATTTTTATCTGTTGATTTTTTTCTATCTCAGATTAATTAATTTTCATAAAAGCTGGTTAACTTTATTTTTAAAAAAGTCCGATACGTTTTTTTAATATATTATGGCCTTTAGTTCGTAAATACTTCATTGTTTTGTGTAACGGTCACCAGGACAACAGTGTTCGACTTCAAATTCCTTGGAAGCTGATAGTAAGCTTCTGCGATCAGAACAGACTCTGCAAGTGAGGTAGCCCACACATGCAAAATCTGCTTGCTCCATTTTTCCATGGTATTTCTCGTGGAAGTTATAACTCCTCTTAATTTTTTATTTAATAATTTACCAGCATCTTCAACTGTAAAATCACCGTGATAGTTCATAGCTCGCGTGACAGAGACCCCTAGTTTCGTGCTAAACATTGTACATGTGTAATCAGTGATTGGGCCTCCTTCGGGAAAATACTGTACTTCCATTTCTGTTTTCTGAAGATCAGCCCCAAAACATCTCTGAAGCAATTCAAAACTAAGAATTTCGCTTTTCTCTGAGCTGCCGCCAGCGTTCTGGCAAGTAAACATACGCTTAGCTCCAGTCGACAATGACATTTTCGATACAGGTTTCAGCTGTTTAAACTCTGTGAAAACGACTCCAGAATTAGTTTTCGAGCAAACTTTACGGCGGAGATTAAACGGATTTCCATGTCTAACGACGAAGTTTTCCCCTACGTAAGTCTGAGCGTGTTCCAGTAAAGGATCTTCTATGCTGTTTTCTCGTGTAAACAACGTTTGATTACGTGACAATGTTCGTGTAGAAGTTGTTGTCGTATTGTTTCCATCGCCATTTCTCACTGCTATCCCCATCCTGGCTAGGTGTGCATTGCTTTTCTCGTCGGGAGATGTTCATGTTAACTGTATTTTCTGTTTGCCAGTAGAGAATGGACAAAGGTGCAAGAAATCGCCTTATTTATATTGTCGAGAATGTTTACAGCTGTATTGCATCATCACCAAATACATGACATCATCGTATGTATTTTTAGAAACCCACATCATGTAGTTCCCAGTTTCAGTTTCCGGTGTCACGGTTTCAGTGGTCCTTTTCCGAAGGGGTAAAAAATGTAGGGGAATTATATAAATTATCTAAGAAGAACATTGAACAAAAAATTTGATCAAGGACAATATTATTAAGCTACTTCGCAAAAAAACGGGCCCAGAAAATCAAAGCAAGCTGAAATGAAATTGGATATTGATAAAGCAATTCGACGATTTCATTCCTCCCCGCAGTTCGTTCGTCACGAATTCAGAGGCTACGATTTCATCAGCTCGTTCTGATCAGAACATTTAGGGGTAACTGGGTAATATTTGGAATCAGAGTCTTGACATAATGGTAAAAGTTATTTCTAATCAAAGAGTTTTTAGAACAACCAAAACGAAACAACGAGGGCAATTCCTATTTTCTCTAGTAGCTTGGCGGATTGTATCAGAACCAAGTTCCATCTCATCAGTTTGTGGTTGGTTATTCGTAATTTACAAATTCCCTTCTCTCAGCCGTTCCTCTTGTTTATCAGTTTAAGTCATTAATTCAAGTGCCTCTCTGTTCAGGGGCGTAGCATGGGATGTTGAAAGTGTACGTACGGAAAGGAAAGTTAGAGTACAGAAGCGCTCTAAACTAAGGGGGTTGGGACATGCTCCCGCAGAAAATTTTCAGGCCTTAGGGTCTCGGAAATTCCATTTCTTTCGTTTTCCGGGGGATAGTTTCAGGAAATAAATATGAAGGAAAATGTAGGAGTTAGTTGTTTATATTACTATCGTTACGGAATAATAAAAGGATGTAGGAAATACTCAAACAAACACACCAATATAATGAGTAAAATTATCAGTCATCCCGATTTGATGATAAAAATATTTTCAGGGAAGGGAAATTTCCAGATTTCGGCTGTGAGCATGGGCGTATGTGCGTATATACACGCTACGCTCCCGCTGTTGTTATGGGATCGCAAACCGTAGCCAGTTGAAAATAGAGGATAGGATTGCTGCCACCCCTGGTTTCGCCCCGTATAAGGTAATTCGGATTCTGGAATCCGAGAAACTTTTACTTGTACAATTGCTGAATTTACTTGACTATGTTTCAATTTTTCCTGCTCACTTTTCTTTGCTCAGTCCCTACGTGAACGCCTCAGTGGGTTAAAACTGAATCAAAACATGTCGAGTTTCGAGTTTCGCCTTGGGAAAATAACTTTAATGACGGGGTTCAAAATCAACACCGTTAAGAGTGCAATTTCCTTTGTAACTCCGCTTAGTTATTTTTCGAACCAAAATACTCAGACACTTTTTCTGATTTTGCCACACGAGAACACGCTCTGGCTGTCCTATGTCCAAAAAGAGTTGATTACTTCACCTGACTCGGCCGATAAGAAACACAGTCTGAATCTAATCAAGCAAGTCAAATCCCAGGGGCACCCATCGACTTTTCTCTGGTGAATGATAACTGTAACACAGTAAGAGCAAATATTGCCTAAAAATTTCTAAGACTAAGAAATTCGGTTTTTTTTCTACTATACTACTTACCTACCGTCTTACCTAAAATTTTCAGAAGTTGTGTTTTGCACATTTTATTACCGTGATATTGCCATTATTGCTAAAAGAGGTCACCTGAAAATTTCGGTTAAAGAAAACACCTCCCCTAGAATCCGCTGATGAAAGTACGGTTACCCCATGTCCTTGAATTTTTAACTGTACCCATCAGGGTAGCTAACAAGTTTCAGATGAGACAAAAAAGTCACCTAAAACTTTCGAGGCGACCAAAGGTTCCCTTTAGACAGCCCAGATTCAAATTCACCAGACAGCCTTTTTTTTTTGGCATAGAGAAAATCATTCGAGACACTTACACGGGCGTATTTGGAAACTGATTCGATCGTTGGGCGCCACTGAAATCCTTGCCACAAACGAGGGGGAAACTATGCCGAATAAAGACTAGTCTGGGACTGTTACTGGGGACACGGAAAAAAATTGGCCAATAGCTGACAGGTGCGTTCCCAGTAACGATCGCGGAACTCTCTACGCGGCCCAGTTTCTTTCCCGTTTTTAAAGGGTCTCCAGGGATAAAAATTGGGATACTGGATACTTAACAATTATTCCTCGAGCCCGAATGGGCTCTGAGTCAATAGCCCATGGAAGGCCTCATGGGCTATTGACTCAGAGGCCATGAGGGCGAGAGGAATAATTGTTTTAGTAAGATCCAACTACTTGGTCAAAAATATCGAGAATAAAAAACTTTTAGCTAGTTAAAGCTAGACTTTAATCCTTTTTTGCCGCCAAAAAGCCCGCGCTTTTCGCTACTAGTGGGCTATAACATATAGCTTAGTAGTAGTTCAACCAATCAGAACGCAGCATTGATAATAGACCACCAGTTGGATTTAACTAATAACAGATACGATGTATGGCGGACCGCCCAAGGTAGCAAAACGATGGCCACTTCTCGATCCTTCGCTGCGCCCATGTACAGGCTCTCCACTCAAATAATTTGAAAGAGATAATTCAGATTAAAAATAAGCTGGTTAAAAACCACTCAACTCAGCTGCAGGAGGCATGCAACCAGTTGGTCAGAGCGAGCAGGACTCGAACCCGAGGCCGTCAGACTGTAAGTCCAACGCGCTGACCACGTCGTCCCTTCTGCGAAACGTCCGTAGCGGCGAGGAGCGAGGAAAGACGGCTGTATCAGCAGACTAAATGCTCACTCGCGTTTAATCATTCATTTGCATGAGAATCATATCTGCACCTTTCACTGTTCTTGCCTCCGTACAGCAGCCACACGTACTCCCTTCACATCAGGGCGCGTATTTTTGATCATTGGCATTCATTGCTAACGGAATGGCGTCCTTCTCTTGAATTCAGAGAGGAGAAAAAAGAACGATGTTTTACCAGGGGCACCCAACGAGGATATAGTTCAAAACCACTTAACATAGCATTGTTGAACGCATTTTAGTATTCAAACGGTAGATATAGGCATATTTTTATCCCCTAAAAACTTTTCATCTGTTCGGATTTCCTAGCTGAAAGTCTAGTGATCCGAAAATTATAGGGATAAAAACTTACCTTCTCGAAAATTTCAGCCAGGAAAAGGCTCCCGAAAATTCTAGGTGGCCTTTTTTAGGGTCAAAATCCGTTAAAAATGGGTAATTATACCATTTTGTAGATGTTCGAAAATCCTAGGAGAGGCAGGCAAGCAAGAAATTTTACAACAAATACTCCGAAAATTCTAGATCTCAAATCGTCTTCCGAACAGATATTTTCCCGAAAATTGCCGTTGGGTGCCCCTGTTTTACGAGCCCTTTAGTCCGCTAAGAATTGTTAAAAACACCCACGAAATATGATAAATTCGGCCAAAAGTTTTGGTTTTGACTTTGTTAAGCAGACATGACTGTTTTCTCCTAACCATCAAAACATGATCAAGAGAAAAGGCTATGAGAATTAATAAAAACATGTCTTTAATTCTCTAAACTTATTCTTTAAAAAAATATAATAATGGTGAAAAGTCTGGGAAATTCGTATGTGGATTGCCTCCCCAAATAAGCATTACATTCCCCAACCACCCTCAACCTCTCCCCCTTCTCAGCAATAATATGGCGCTTTTTTGCGACAACCTTACGTATAAATCATAAAAGACTGAAAAAAAACAGTAGCTGAGAAATATTTATCAAAAACTTTTATGGATATAATTGAATGGGAAAAACTGTTACAAGTACTTGTCAAGGTGTATCTGAACTTTCGGCATCAAAGGGGGAATTTTAAGTCCCTATATAGGAAAAAATGGACCAAGTAGTATTCCGTTGGGCGAAAGAATTTGTCCCACGTTTAGAAAATGAGGTCTTTAAATTACCCGTATTATCTAAGTAAAAAAAAGGTGTTTCTTCACCGTAAATCCAGTCTGTTGGTGCCGCACTAGTGATCGTGACAAAAGCCATAAATGCTAAAGCGTTAATAAAATTGTCTTCATATTGTCAGTGTTGTTAAAGGATTTTCTGTCTAAATTCTTAAGAAAAAAAACTTAAGCGTATAAAAATTAAACCCTATATTATGGGAGAACAAACTTTGGACGAGCGCACCATCTCTCCGAAGTCTGGATATGACAATTTTAGGTCTGCCAAGATCAAGTGTCAACCATCATTTGCACGCACGGGCTGCCTGACGCAACGTGTTGCGACGTGATGTTTCGTTAGCGGCTGTTTACATATAGGGGGAGGGCAAAAAATATCCTGCGTTTACATGCAATCAATCTTGCAACCCCTCCATCGGGGGGTGCACTATCTCATAATCTGTCAAGATTATTAAATGGGAAAGGACGTTTTTTGCTCTTCTACTCTTACTTTCTGCAATCTTTCAATGTTGTGGGTTTAAAATGATGCAAAGCGTTCGCCAATAAAGGCAGATGGTCAGTTTATGTTGTTCAGTCCACGATTGGAATGTGATGTGACACGTATCCGGCAACCCCGACTTTTAAGGCGGGTTATAGTTTACCCCACCTTGGTACCTCGGCTGAGAAGATGATCAAATTTAAATGAAAGATTATATGGACTGGTAGGCTACCCCACCTTAGCGAGATAACTCTAACCCTAACCCTTAATTTTTAATTTTACTAGCAAGAATTTAGATGGCAGTTTACACCGATTACGCAATTAGAGCCATTAGCGACAATTAGCTAGTCTCACCGTAACCATGGCAACAATATTCACGGGAGAAAAATGACGTGCCTGTCATGTTATACAGCACAGGGTCAAGCAACATACAAGCAGCACCATTAAAATGTGTTTTTTTTTATTTAGCACATTAGGCCACGTTTTACTTTTATTTTTCTGAAAGTGAGGGTTATTTATGGATATTTTAATGTACCAGTTCACTGTTTTCTGTTTTGCGGCAAATCGCGTGACTGAAAACACGGCAAAAACACTAAATCTCAATTCAAAGAATAGGACCTTGAAAGTTCAGCCCTTTTGTATTTAAATTAAACACTTCAGGAAAGGGGAAAAGAAAAAACAGGAAAACACAACCGTGAATCTGACCGTGAATGAAAGTTTGACTCCGGAATAGCGCTAATAGTCTTTCTAGGAACCGGCCCCTCGTGGAAAACATGCGCGCTTCACGATCGCGAGATCAGGAGAATCGATCAAGAGGACCTGACTAGAGGAGAGGGAGTGGGGCTCGACATCGCTTTCAACTAGACACGGGGAGGGTGAAGTGAATACCACTCTAATTATAACATGGACCAGTGTACAGTGTGCTACAAAAGATATGACAGTCAATATCCCGTCTGCGATAGATACCCTGAAAAGCCTATGTGCCGACCAAGCTCAAACTCCAGTTCTCCATTGTGTACTAACAGCAAGAACAAACAAACTTCTCAGTGGCCTCAAATCCGAAAATGTTGTTAAACACAATTTTATTTCTTAAAGCAACCAAGCTAACTTTATTTATGCATTAATCATTCCCCTTAAAACTCTTTAAAATATTCCATTTCAAATTACTAAATATTCAAAAAATATTGGCCGATTCTAATTTTGTTTTTAGTCGTAAGAGCCGCTATATGACTTCATGACAAGACTCCGATTTCAAGAACATTCGTTGACTATCACGTTCTACCTAGGCTAGCTATTTCCTTATACCCAGGCGATTCATGAAAAAACATCCCAAACGCTCCTCCAGTTGCATTTCGGGGATGGTGATAGCCACACATCCGCCAATATGA